TCCTGATGATAGTAATGGCCCATCGATAAACAACATATATTTGAGTGAGTACTATGCCCCCAAGTGCTTGAACGCTATTTCAGGAAGAGAAGAAAATTCTGCGCAGCTGCAAAATGGTATAAAATGCAATTATGAATAATAATTATTGGAAGTGTATTTACAAGATAAATACAAGAAGAAGCTATATAGTACTTGAAATGATGGTATACATTTGCAATGTTTAAAGCCAACCATTTTGGTCTAAGCATGGAAACTATGATGTTTTCGATGAAGATATAGCTTTGTTCAAACATTCGTGTTGTTGCGTTTTTAATCAAAGCAACCAGACTTTGGGCAAGCAACAAATATGAACAAAGAGCAAGTTTTAGCTTTAATAATGGCAGAGGTAGTTAATATAAAGTAGAGTATAATAGTGTGTAAATAAAAAGATTGTTGTGGGGTAGGTAAGTGATATTTAAGTGAGGAGTGAATTCAAAGATCTGGAAAATTAGGACCCGTAGGACAAGCTGACCTGTAAGATGTGTCACGAATTTCTGTAGGACCCAATGGGTAGCATCTTGACAAGAAGCTGAACAGACTAGGAAATTAAGTTTCCCTTAAAAATTTGTGAAGTATAGAAGTAGCTAGTATTACAGCAACTAAGTTATAGTCTATTTAGTAGAGTAAAATGGCTAGTGGAACAACTTGTGATAAAGTTATGTAGAATGATCCTGAGGAAAATAGTCGGTTAACGGAACTAGTTATGCTAAATTTTCATGACCGATTTTCATATGGTATGCGTCAGACATTGGAAAGTAACCCATCAACTTACGTTATGTTAAAAATACTGCGAAATTTTATAAAATTATATATTTTAGAAAAGTATATGATAAAAGATAGTTATTGACTGAGTAAAGTCATTTCGACATAAAAAGTAGCAGTATATTATTAACTATATATATACGTAAATGTAAGATATTGAAAGGTGTGGTAGCTAACATAATTGTTTCTAAAATTACTTATACTAACACAACTTATTGCAGATTAGAGAGAATAGAAAATCACTAAATTAGTTAAACGTTCGCTGCGTTGGTAGTGGAGTCGAGTTATACGTAAGTGACTATGCTGAGGACTGGGCTGGCTATCATTTTCCATTCTGCAAACACTTTTGGCCCTTCAGAACATGTTAACGTGTCTTTCTAGGCTCCATTTGAACCCATCAGGGTTTTCACAACATCTAATATCAGGTGGTAGTTGGTTCCAAAGAGTGCAATATACAATGGTGAAAACGTTTGCCCTAATGGATTTTCTGTGGTTAGCCACCTTGAGAAGGTAGTCATGGTTTCGCAGCTGATACGACTTGATATTTGCCCGCGTTATGGACGAGTTACTGTAACAATGTTTCCTAATGACTTTGAAGAGTAGAACCAAGTTGCATGTCACTCTCCTTAAACGTGATCGTCTCAGCAGGCAACTGAGTGAACTGGTACATAAACCCAGAGTACCACGAAGAAGACAGATGAAACCAGCTTAAACAGCTTTATTCCCGGGTAACTGAACCTTTCATCCTTTGGTCTGTGCCCAAAGGTCGGAAACATTACTCCCTTGGTTAAACCAAAGATATCCGTAAACTACTCAGACGTAAACACAAATGCTGGAACCTGTTCACCACACGTGAGACTCCGGAGGCCAGGAAGTTATGCAACATCGCTAGGAACAAAGCTACAGCAGAAATCCGCCAATCAAGGATGTAGTTCGAAGCATAGCTGGCTCAGATCGCAACGGCACAACCTCAGAAAATTTTCTCGTTCGTGAACCTAAGAATAAGATATCCAACGGGCTCCCAAACCTGACTATTGACAATGACATAATCGAAGATCAAGAAAAAGCAGAAGCAATGGCAGACTACTTCTACCAAGTCTTTACACATGAGTTGTCACTCCCCATGGGATCAGCTCTGGCTGCATCAGAGGAACACAGGATAGATTCCGTTGGCCTAGATCAGAACATCGTGCTCAAATGCCTAAAGAACCTAGATGCAGGGAGATTAATGGGTCCTGATAATCTTCATCCAAGTCTTCTGAAGGAGCTATCAGATCACATAGCCGGCACACTGACCACGATCTTCAAGCTATCTCTTCTAAATGGAATGTTACCGCGTGACTGGAATGACGCCATTGTAACCTTTCATCCATAAAGGAGGATCAAGACAAAGCCCTTTAAATCACAGGCCTATCAGTCTCACCAGCACCTTAATCAAGACACTGGAAAGAATCATCAAGAAAGCTATCATAGCATATCTGGAAAATAACAATTTGTTACCCAGCCTTCGATAAAGTTCCTCACAACAGACTACTCACGAAGTTGAAAAGTCTTGGTATCAAGGGCAGCTTACTAAACTGGATTAGGGAATTCCTCGTAGATAGGAGGCAGAGGGTTAGGATCAACTGGAAACTCTCCTCCTGAACAACGGTGCGTAGCGGAGTGCAACAAGATACGATACTCGGACCTCCCCTTTTTATTTTGTAAATCACTGAGTTATCTCTGCTCACCGACTCCCCTATGGTCCTATACGCAGATGACTTAAAAATTTGGAGAGAGCTGAAGGGCAACAGTGATACGTCCACGTTGCAAAAGGACCTCAACAAATTGTCAGAGTGGTCCATAGAATGGATGCTGCCGATCGATGTAGCGAAATGCGCAACCATGCGCATCGGACATGCAAGCATCACCTCCTACAAACTAGAGGGAATAAAACTTCCATCAGTTCAGACTCACTTGGATTTAGTTGTCATAGTAAGCCACGATTTAAAAACTACAACACACTGTCGCGCGGTGGCTGCACTTAGTTTCAGGTCCTTATTGGCGATTCGCAAAGCCCTTACTAGAATCACCAGAGATATGTTCACCCCCTTATATACATCTCTGGTGAGGTCAAGACTAGAAAACTGTATCCAGGGAGCCAGTCCTTGTCTTAAATGACACTCACATATTCTAGAAAGAGTTCAAAGGGAGGCAACATGTATGCTCGGCATGACTAATCCTGCGACAGCTTAAATCTCTTCTCCCTGTCACACCGTAGGCAGAGAGGAGATTTAATCACGAAGTTTAAAAATTTAAATAATGAATAAGGACCTGACCTATCCTCTTTTCGCCTTCCCACCAGGTCGGAGCACCTTAGAGGACATAGCAGGAGAGTTCAAAAGCCAAGAAGAAACCATATTTCTTTGGAGTATTGGTTCTCACACCGAGTCAGGAAGGGTTTGAACAAGCATAGAAATTTACTAGAAAAGGATAAACATAGGCACCAAGCCTTCTATCCTAAACCAATAAATCTGAATCTGAAATGGTTTAACTGCTTCGGTAAGATGACGTTTAACCCAAGCGCTGCGAATAAACTCGACCTTGTGCAGTAGCATTTTCTGATGTTATAAAGTAACTTCTTACATAAGTCATTATTTGGATACATCTTATCTTAGAAATACGACTCATTAGTGTGTTATTTACCCAGAGAGATAAACACAACCTTAACTGAATCAAGTTTCATTTTAAGTGCAATAGTAATCCGGATAATGCAGGCCCGCATTATATGTGAAAAACAGTAAGGTGGAGACCTTAATATTGAGTGACTTCCAAGAGATACATCTTTTCTGAATAAATTTAAATGCCAAACGTCATCTGAGTCGACATCAGACACTGATGTCTCATTAGGTGTGCTTGTGATATAATGCATGCCGGCTCTAAGGGTTAGCATACCGACCCTACGTAGTATACAGATGAAATAATGGTTTCATATTAGACGACGTCCCGTTAAATTATTCAGCGTTATGAAGGTCGTAGTTTAACTTTTAAGTTAGCCTCAGTGGACTACTGTAAGATGTTCTCAGATGCATTTTTTGAAACGTGTTAAAAGAGAATCAAGAGCATTACTTTCTGAATGGTAAAGGTAAACTGTACTAACGGTTTGTGGCATATGTAAAATTGAAGTAACCAAATACAATTTGGCAGTTGGTGTTGTAGTTTTTATTTGTATGTTTATATATCCTCGTTATTTCACAGGTGTCGAGCATACACCAACATAACGTCTAGCACTGCTGCATCATTATACATTTTAAGACTTTTCATCATCACACGTGGTAGGTTAATGCAAACGAATTTTTAAGTGTTAGACTCATGTAGTCGTGTATCTTTGAGTATCAAGGAACAAGACAGAAATAATACGTTACACCCATTAGTCCTTCTGGACTTAGGAGTTTGATATTATGCTATTTGACCTGCCTAGTTCACATGGAATGTGTTGCCATCGTTGACATCAGATTTTAATTCTCATCTTGGCTCGTAGAACTATTTGACTACGAAGTGCCGGAAAGATATAACAGCTAACTCGAATTCACTCAGCGTCTGAAGAGCTGTCTTCTGAAGTAATGTTAATTATTGATATCCGACATGAATGCTCAATTTCACAATTCTTAATTGTTATCATCGTATATGACCTTGGTTGACTGAGAGGTTTCAGTAATCTGTTTGTTATCTGGGAGTTTCGTTTGTTTAGAGTACGTTTACGATGTAGTCCTCCCTTGTAAGGATACTGATAAAATGGAAAAGTGTTTCCTAACCATCCTCCGAAATAATCTAATTGTGTTTGGCGTGCATTTTGCTTACGACAGATATTAGATGATGTTCAGTGGCTCAGGACGGCATGGGATAAAGTTCAAAGTCAAAATCAGTGGCTATTACACTGCAGTTTTCTTCTTTCTTCTATTCTTTTCGACTTAATTATAGGTATTTTGCCTGTTTCTCTCACTCACGTGTCTGTATTATTTTTCTTTCCTTTATATTCTTATTGGGTTGCTTTGTGTGGCGCATGTCTTAGTGCCAGTATGGCGGTGTGCTTACGTTTAAATAAATAATAACTCTCTTATCTTCGTTTCCAATAAATTCACCCTCATTCTAATTTTTCCACATGTTTTTATTCATTTAATTAGTCAACCTTAATCAATCCTTCTGTTACTCTTTTGTAGATGGATGTGACTAAGATTTTCCGCCTGAGCAATGAAAAACAGGCTATCTTGTTACAGCTGATTGCAGTAGGTATTGCTGCTGTCTTGGGTAAGCTGTTATGGTTACTGTTAATTAAAATGAAGCCTTTGCCATCAGACTTTATTCCGTCATTCGTTTTGAATCAGTCATCCATGAGTTTGACCCTTATTTTAACTATCGTACCACCCGCTTTATGACGGAAGAGGGGTTTTACAAGTTCCATGACTGGTTTGATGATATGGCATGGTATCCTCTTGGAAGAATTATTGGAGGAACGATATATCCTGGTATGTATATGCAATATGTTTCATAATTGGCAGGTCTCATGGTGACGTCATCTTTTATTTATTCACTACTGCATGCGATACACGTCACTATTGACATACGGAACGTTTGTGTATTTCTGGCACCCCTGTTTTCCAGGTAATGTCTGTTGCTTAATAATTAACCTTTTAAGCTTTACTACATTAGTGACATTCTTGTTGACAAGAGAGCTTCAGGATAGTGGAGCTGGATTGTTAGCTGCTGCCATGGTTGCAATTGTACCTGGTTACATCAGTCGATCAGTGGCTGGCTCTTATGATAACGAAGGCATCGCAATATTTTGCATGCTTTTTACGTTTTATTTGTGGATAAAATCTGTAAAAACAGGATATATATCTTGGGCTTGTGCTTGCAGTCTTGCATACTTCTACATGGTTTGTTGTTCACTTTCTACTTTATTGGTATTAGGTCTCTTCTTGGGGAGGATACGTGTTTTTAATAAACATTATACCTATTCATGTACTAATCCTTATGATTACGGGGAGATTTTCCAGTCGACTTTATACTGCCTATTCTACGGTAATTTCCGTGTTTTAGACTAACATATGTCTTGTAGGTTTATGTTTTAGGTACGATACTTTCAATGCAAATTAGCTTTGTTGGCTTTGCTCCTGTAGTTTCAAGTGAACATATTGGGGTAAGTTATGTATGTATTTCTAACATTACTCCAGGCTCTTGGTGTTTTTGGACTGTGTCAACTCTTCGCCTTCTATAACTACCTCCAAAGAACTTTGACTTCGGAACAGCTGACAACAGTGTTACGTGTTTTTGGCCTGTCATTGTTTAGTGTTGCAGTAGTCGCTGGTTCAGTGTTGTCTGCTACAGGTAAGATGGTTATCTTGATAAGTACTCTACTTTTAATATTTTTGTCAAATTTATTACTTTTTATGAACACTTCTTGCTGATAAGAATTTCCCTTAGATATTGTTCAGTAATTTTCTGTTCTCCCTTCTCTTCATTAAATCATTTTCTCACATGTTTTTAGCCACTGCACTTGGAATAAATTTTCCAGGCAACAGGTTATAAGCCCCAACCATTGTGTAAAAGCTGATTATACTACCCAGTTACTCAGGATGAATTAAATGGAGAGGGGTTCGAACCTGTAACCTACTGCTTTAAAGTCACGCTTAAGCCGGTGACCCACATCTTCAATAAAATATAAGTACATATAAGGGTGTTGAAATGCTGGGTCACATTTAATAATTTTCTTTTGCAATAGGCTAAGGCAAAACCCGTCTACTTCATTAGGAAAAGGTAGAGCGTGTAAACTTCATTATTACTGCTTAATATATGTGCTACAAGTAAATGGAGGTGAATTGGACACAGACCAAGGAGGTATTTAAGTGACACCACACGCCAGACCCTCTAGAGGAACCCGAATGGGAAGCGATGAGTTTGGCGTGCATCTGGTGTTGATATGGAGGAGATCATGAGAAAAGAAAATGAAAGTTTGTGGGGCAGTCGTGAGACCGACTGAATGATTTTGTAGAGACGAGTTCAGGGGGCATGTGCCGCTAAAGCCCTTGTTCCACTATGGATGCAAGGAATGAATAGTATAATAATAATGATAATAATGACTAGACGTGCTGTTAGACTACTGTTGACCACCAAAGCTTGTGTTCTGCTATTATACTGAAAAGACGCCATTAAGGCAGATGATACATATGGCCAAATTTGTATGAATTAAAAGGTATTATAGTGTATTCAACCGTATATTCTGAGTTTTAATTTTAATGATAACTTAACGTCTCAACCACTTGATACCTATCCAAGATAACTCATGTTAACTCTTGATATCTTTTTAATATGTGGAGATCTGACCCATTGGCTGAAGCACTCAACTTTTAGCCAGTCGGTCACAGTTTCAAGTTCCTCTCCACTTCAGTTTCAGTAACTAGGCTGTATGCCACCAGCCGTCACACAGTAAGTGTGGCTCATAACCCAGTATCGTGTATTATTATTACTCCCTTGGGTTTCAAGTGGAACACAGGGCTTCAGCAGCACATCGCCATTTTATGCTTTTCTTTACAGTCTTTTAGCTGGGTTTGCGATTGCGCATAAGCGCTTTCATTTCCTCCTCGCACTATCTCCATACCATCCTCGGACGACCAACTTGTATCCCACTGGAGTTCGACTGGAGGGCCTAGTGCGTGACATCACTCACTGGTCTTCTCAGCCGTAGTCCAATCTATCTCCATTTCCTTCTGCATGTTTGTTAAACGATAGGCTCCTGGTTGGTTCGTTGTTAGACCTCATTGTCACTAATCATCCTTTCTGGCCATCTTATCTTCAATATCCAGCCAACAAAGGTGAAAATCTGCAGCTTGTTAGAGAGGCTTTTCTTGATGTGCCAAATGTCAGCCATATAGAAACACTGTTTTGATAATTTGTGTTGAAAATCAGGATTTTGTTCTTTATGCTTAGTGCATCAGATTTTCACACTGATTTCCGACTAATAAAGGTCTATCTTGCTTTTCTGATCCTGCCCCCTAACATCGTCATCTGTGCCACTTGTATCTGAAATGATGTGGCCTATAAAAGATGCAACTTCCTTTAAATTTCTCCTGCTGACTGACACTGATTAGTGCTAGTTGTTTCTGATTGGATATCTTCATTGCCTCCTGTTCCTCCATGTGCTCACCTGACGACGCGTCCTTACTACTGCCTTTTTTCTTCCAACTTGTTGGTTTTCGCCTGTAAATCTTCGAGGTACTTTAATTTTTATTTTGTATCACTCCTCAAGAAATACAATTATTGAAAAACGTTTTTTATTTATTGCAATTTAGGAAAAATTTCACCTTGGACTGGTCGATTCTATTCTTTATTGGATCCAACCTATGCTAAAAATCATATTCCAATTATTGCTTCTGTGGCTGAACATCAACCGACTGCATGGAGTTGTTATTATTTCGATCTTCAATTTTTAACTATCATGTTTCCTGGTAAGTATTTATCTAGTGATCCATATAAATGATAACAATAATAACACGATGATAATAATGATAACAACCGTTTTTCTTTTTTTAGTTGGCTTATACTACTGCTTCCGAAAGTTAACAGATGCAAGCATTTTCACAATTATATACGGTGTCACCAGTGTATACTTTTCGGTTAGTCAGTATTTTCTTTTGTTTTTCGTATATATTTTTTTTACACATTAAATTTATAATTATTCCTTTTTGATTTTTCTGTGTCCCCATTAATATCAGTTTCGATTTTCTCTAGTAAAACATTTCTTATGCAATTAACAAGAAAGAAGTAATTAGCAGGGCGATAATAAGAGTTTGGACTACGTACACTTATCAAAATGTTAACTCTTTCGCCATCTCTGGCGTGTAGACGTGATATTCGACTATAGATCAAAGGACATGTCCACTGCGCAGTAGTTGTCTCTGATCTCCTCTATGAGTCTATGGGACATAGTCATCGGAAGGAGAAATTTATGAAAAGGCTATCTGTTTGCCTTCCATCTTTTGTGTCAAGTGCTACTATAATATGATAAGTAATAAATATTGAGGTTTGGCGTATAGAGTAATAGATAAGAAGGGCAAGGCAATCGATGGGGTTTTGAAGCTGGATCGTTTGAGGTGGCTAGGACATGTGTGTTGTGCATGCCCAGCCATCGCTTTCCTCGACGAGTAATGTTAGCTGACATACAATAAGTTGGAAGAGGGCTAGACGTGGTCAAACCGAAACCTGGAATCAATCCACGAAGTCTTTGACACAGTTGGTTTGAGCCAGCCACGTAGGGAGTTGTAGACTGCCTGGTCGGTTGGGGTTCTCAGGACACTAAGAACCAATGCCTGGAGACAGTTGGTGATATGGCTCAAAATCGTCATCAGTGTGGTACAGATACATTCATTCTTGGTAAACTCCCAGATTCAGTAAGTTTTTTTGCTCATCCGTTTTACTCTTATTTCTGTCGCACATTTCTGCTCATTGTAGTTCACTTTTCTCTACCTTTGTATGCTACATGGAGTGTGGTAACTTCAGCTGTTGCACTTCTATGTTGGAATTCAGTCATTTGTATTACTTCTAGTGGGATTAAGTATGCATGCTTTAGTGTGTTTTTGTCTAGGTATTCGAAATGTAACTAGCGAATCTTGAGAAGTGTGAGCAAAAGAAAAATGAATATAAATGTTTGCAGGATAAAAACAGAACTCACTTGTTTTTATTTCACGGCTTTTCTTCAACTGCCCTAACAGTCTAAAGTTCACATAAGTTATTATATATATAAGTGTAAATATATAACATAATTTAAAAATTATTTCAACTTATAGGGTGTTTAATAATTCTTAGTACTGTAGTGGAACGAGTGGTATATACACAGTGTAGTTGTTTATAACCGAACAACTAGAGATGCGCTGTGAGTGAAAAGATACAGTAAGTAAAAATAGAATTATTAAACAAACAAGCGACCACGTAAACTAGGAGATGAGTAACAAGTACAGCTCAGTGAATGAAAATGTTGTGACCCTACAAAAGACACATCTAGTGCAGAGTACTGTGAGATTAATCACACTGTCTTTTTGTTGATAGTAATGGCGTCGCAACTTTTCTTAACTTTCACCCTATGAATTGAACTTATTATTAAGTCTCCAATTTACTTAATGGTTCGCTTGCATAATAATTTTACCCTTGCTTACCTTTTTTTCCACTCCCACCCTCTTATTATGCATAAATAAACTCTGATTGTTAGAATGTTAACTATCTTGTGCTCATGCCCTTTGTTCCACTACTCTATGTCTTTCGAGGTGAAGTAATCTTTTGAAGTATTTTATATAATTTACATTTATAATAACAACATATGTGATCTTTAGACTGTTTAAGGAGCTGAAGAAGAGCCATAAAATTGAAACATATAAGGTCTTTTTAACATTGCAAATATCTTCTTCGTTCGTGTTTTGTGCTTCAAACTAATCAAAGGAATCTGGGTGTATGGAATCCTACAGAGTTCAAAGTTTGATTTTGTTTTGTCCACCTCAGTTCGTTTTTGCTAAATATTTTACGGTGAATGCGATATACTGAAACTAAGAGTTATATATATATATTCATTAGTTATAGGATTTTCGGCCACTTGGTCCCGGGTTCGAACCCCATCCCACCAATTTCAACCTGGTTAACCTTTTTTTCTTTTCATTTCTTTACGTCCTGAATATAGAACATAGGGCTTCAAGCTTGAGCTTTGGAGTTTCAGTCGCAGTAGTGTTTCTTTCACATCCAACTTTACCTCTTTACCGGGATTACTACCGTGGCTAGGCGAGATTTAGGAGTGTGTCGGCTGGGAATCGAATCCTAGGCCATTTGAGGGTGTGTGTGTGTGTGGTTGGCAAGCATATTCTACCACTGAACCATCGACACACCTACTTGGCTAACTAGATAGTAGTAGTATTATTAGCATTCACAGAAAACAACTGTTGCCGATCATAGCTTAGTGAATGACCCGAGTAGCAGCAACTGCTTATGGTATGCAGTGTGTAATTCACTAATGACTAACATTTTTAATATGTGTGCAATTCTGTGTGGATTGATACAAGAATCATATGACAAAAAGGTTTTTGTTTTACTAAACTGGTAAACATTTCATGGACGCACACAATGAATCGACAGTTAGATAAATAATAAAATGTTAGAATACTCTTTGTTCATAACGTTTAACGGTGTGTAGAGTAAGTAGTGCTTAATTGACTATAATAAAATCGAGATTTTAGAATATAAGTCTAAGTCAGTACAGCCTTCTCTAGGTAAAAATATTCTGCATTTCAGACTGAATCATATCCTATATATATATATATATATATATATATATATATATATAAAGGCTTCTGATGATAGTCAATGGCTGATATTGAAGTAGCTCAAACTGAACTAGCTGAATTTTCAATGTAGAACTTTGCACAAAAGTGCAGCTGCAGTTACATTGATTGAGATGGTTGGGACATGTGTTACGCATGCATGCCTAGCTATCGCCTTCCTCGACCAACGGGAAATGTTAGCTCACATAGGATGGATCGGGTAGCAAAAGAGGTGCTAGTGGTGGTCAAACCAAAACATGGCTTTATTAGTCAATGAAATCCACAACAGTTAGTTTAGGCTAGCCACATCGGGAGGTGTAGACTTCCTGGTTGGGGTCCTCGGGATGGTAAAATCCAATAAAGGCTGGAGACAATTGGTGATATGGCTCAAAATCCTCGTTCTCAATGGCTGATGCAGATACATCCACTCCTTGTGATCTATAATATCCAATAAAATTCTATTGTTCTTCCATATTACTATTCTTTTTGCCTCATATTTCTGTTTGTTATCTCTCTTTTGAACCTCCATTTACTCTATTCTCTTGCTGAATGTGCTACATGGAGTGTAGCAACTGGAACTGCTGCACATCCAGTGCAAAGTTCTATGTTCAAACCAGTCAGTCAGTCACAACAGTGCAGCAGGTGAAGTTACCACACTCCATGTAACATAAAAAAAGTAGAGAAAAGAGAACTACAATGAGCATAAATGTGTGGGAGAAATAAGAATAAAACGGATAAGAAAAAAACTTACTGAATCTGGGAGTTTACCAAGAATGAATGTATTTGCACCAGTGACAACGATTTCAAGCCATATCACTAACAGTCACCAGCCATTGGTTCTCAGCGTCCTGAGAACCCCAACCGACCAGGCAGTCTACACCTCCTCATATGGTTCATTCAAATCAACTATCAGCGACTCCATGAATTGACTCAAAGTTTTGATTTAACCACCCGTAACTTAACCGTCATGTCAGATAATATTGCTCGACAGGGGAAGGCGATGGCTTCGTAAGCGAAACACGTTTTCTAGCCACCTCAATCGATGCGGCTACACAACCTCATCGACTGACTTACCCTCCTTACCTAACACTTAATGCCTAAACTCAGCATTACTGACCATATTATGCCACTGAACAGGGGAGATAGAAAGCGAACATTAGTGGTCAAGGACAGTTAGCCTTTTCATACATTTGGTTCCCTTGATAAATTTCGATAGAGAAAAAAACACCAGATTTGCAGTATAAAATGATATCATTCTATTTCACAGGTTCTCATCAGCTGCAAACTACCTGAAATTAAAATGGTTATAAATAATAACATTTCATACTTCATTGTTTGAAAGATAATAGAGAAAACATTATAAGATGAACGCATCCGGAATATAAGGATTAAAATTTATAGTTTAAGTTACCATCAATTTATATACTATCAAACTATGAAAAAAAGGCAAAAGGGGGGGGGGTGAGTGAGAGAAGACAGAAAAATCTAATAAACAGTGTCAACATGGCAACTCAACAAGGTCAAAGTTCATCAATTTAAAAACTTGCTTAGTGAGTTGAGCTCACTAGTGTGTATGAGTAATCAGTGTAATGAAAGTGATATGGTTACCAAGGGAGTGAGAGATTGACTACACTCTCTTTCTGTGTGCATAAGTTTGGTCTGAGACGTTTTATTGCAATTGCTTCAGCAAATCGTAGTAGATTCGCTGTCCTTTGTATGTTTAATATTTTGAAGGATTTGGAAATCTCGACAAAATGGCCCGTATCCACAAGGTGTCTGGTAATTGCACTTTGTAAATATCTGCTTCCTTTTAAGCATAAGTTTCTCAGAATATGCTCTGAAAACCGGATAGAAGCCCTTCTTTCTGTCCTTCCAATGTACTTGCTGCCGCAGGTGCATGTAAATTTATAAATGCAGTTGGAGGTAACATCAGCAGGGTACTTATCCAGTTTCGATTGGCTTATAGAGCATGTAGTACTGTATAGTGTCACCAGATTGGCTGCAGGGAAGCATCTCTTTATTGTTCCTTTCATCCTCTTTTCAATCTTTTTCGATACTGTTTCTCCTTTGTATGGGAGGCAAATGAACACTTTCTTCTTTTCAACTGTTGGATACTTCTCTTTCTCACCTCTTTCTTTGCTGTACTTTAGGATAAATCCTTTTGGATACCCGTTTTCCTTAAGGCATTTTTCAACAAAGCTTAATTCTTCTTCTACCTTGTTGGGCGAACATAACTTCCTGGCCCTGTCGTACAGTGTCCTTACTAATCCCCGCTTATAGCTCATAGGGCAGAAGCTGTTGTAGTGAAGGTATTG